TTGACTAGTCTGCCGTGATTCTGATGGGCTTTCCTTTGTAGGTGATTTGTTTCTTTTCTCTAACTGCCTCTAGGATTTTGTTCTTCTGTTGGGTTTCTGGGATCTTGACTATTATATGTCTAAGTGTAGATTTTTTTTTGATCATGGCTAGTACGTCCAATAATCTTAGAGATAAATAATCATATTTACAGTTTGATAGGTTTAATAACTTGCTAACTGTGGCATATTTAATAAATGACAGAAGCATGATTTACAATTCAATTAGATATATCTATCTATAAATTCCATCACAACATATTGTCTAGATTAGGCAAAGAAGGGAACGGGAAAAGTACTCTATTTCTTATTGATCATGATGCTTTTATATAGGAGCTTCTGGACAGCAGAATATCTCTCCAATTAAAGATTTCTATAACCCAGCATAATAATGACAACAAAAACTAAAAGTGTCCAGCAAAGAAGAAACATTGAATAGAATGATTGATAGATGTATAGATGGTTGCATGGAAGAATAGGGAGGAGATCTCATTTCCCTTTACCTACTATACCCACTCATCACCCAGAAATGTCAGACTCACAAACATATGTCAGGTACCTTCTTAGCTACAGCACTCATTAGGATCTACCACCATGTTTATCTCTAGGACTTTGAGAACTCAATGAAAATGTGGGAGTGCAAACATACTGAAATTCAAGCTGTGCCTCAACCCCAGCTGGATTCTCAAGAATCTCAAGATAGCCTCTCTGATGAGGAGTGTGCCCAGATGCAGCACTTAGCTCACCTCGCAGAAAACCTCATTAGCAAGTAAGTGGACTGCCATAGGTAAAGGGGTGGGAAAGAGAAGAAGAGACAGGGAGAAGCAGCCAATTTATGTCTATTGACTACTGAAAAATCTGGCCTCAGAAAGACATCTCACCTAGAGCTCTAAAGATTGATTAGGGGCTCTGACAACCCATGCAGGAAATATTACATGTGCCAGGCAGAAAGACGGCATGGACATTTTCCGTGAAGCTCAGAGATAATTTTTGATCTCCTAATGCTGTTTCAGGTCCAATAGAACTGAGAGTGTTTATTCTTGCCTTTAATATCAAAGGGGCCTTGAAATTTCTGGAGTCATCTACCTCACTCTATTTTAGCTTTTCACCCTAGTCAAGTTCCCCGTATCTCAATTCAGGTGAAACAAGGATGGACAAAGGTGAATATCTAGAGAAGAGCAGAAACATTTTCTGGCATCAGGGGTACCAAGAAAAGAGCAGAAATAACAACAGAGAAAAATTAAACCTGGTACACAGGTCTTTCATTTCTATACTCACCCCAGCTCACAAGTACACCAGGCCAGAAGTTCAGCAATCCAAGCTCATCTATCTGTCCTTGTTTTACTACAGACTTAATGACCTCAGCAAGATCCACCAGCACATGTCTGTCCTCATGGATTCTGTGAATGCTAGTGTTAACATCCTGAACGATATATTTTATGGACAAGACAGTGGCAATGTGGCAGGTGCAGCTTCCTGCATTCCCACTGAGGTAAGGAAGAAGGAGTAGATAAAGGACAGGAGCAAACCTAGATAGGAAAGGGAATGAAAGGGAAGGAATGGGAAGAATAGGTTGGATGAAGGAATTGGAAAAGGGCTATGGCAGGAAATTGATAGAATGGATGGAAAGGCATGCATTTCCTGACTTGTTATAGGACCAAGGTGGCTACTAGGGAAATCTCACAGCAGATTTCATCAGCCTGATAACCAGCCCTCTTTCCTGATAGCTATCCAGCACACCAGGCTCAGGGAAGAAATGGCAATGGATGGAGAGAAAGTTGGCTTTGAACTCTCCTCATCACAGGTGGCTTGTATAATTTGAGAAAGTGACACCTGCTATTGGAATCAGAGTTCTAAAGTTCTCTGGCTTCCCTTTTGAGGGAAGGGTTCATATCAGATACTTACAGTTAAATGTACCATCCCATGACTTTCCCCACTGCCAGAAGATTCAAGCAATGCTTTCTTACAAAGTAAGTTTAGAGCACTTACCTAGCACACATAAAGCTCTGGATTCCAACCTCACCACCACAAAACAAACAAACAAACAAAAAAAACCAAAGAAACTTTAGTGCTAGGCAAAAATACAACAGGGTAGGGATCTGCTAAAATGTGAGTTAACTATTTTAGGCCAGATAGTTGGAGGAGGCCTGGGGTCCAAGGCATGAAGTTTTGAGAAGAGAGATAGTTGGGCCACACTCTACCTGCCATGGAAAAGGTGATTTTAGCCTAGGAACAACAACTGGCCTCAAATTTACCTTCTAGTTTTTCTATTTTCCTATACCCACTGTATCCAATGAATGATGCCAAAAGCCAAGTTTTTCTGTGCTACTTTGTAGTGCACATCACTACAGCTACACCAGTTGACAGTGGCATCTGTTCTGATTGATTGGTACCTATGCTGTACTAGATTTGCTATATTTTGAATATTAATTTTGCACCTACAGCTACGTTCTGCTAGCCTGCTCTTACTTCCAATGGAGAAGCCAGCTGCATGCTTACTAACCAACTCCTCTGTCTTTGTCCTTTCCCTTCCTTTCTTTTCCTTTCTTCTCCTCTCAGACTCTAAGCAGAAATGATGCAGTAAATGTTACATTTAGTCTTAAAGGGCTCTACGATGACACCAAAGCTTTCCTGGATGAAAACTTGGTGAGTGCAGGGGGTTGGAGCATGGGAGGGCAAAACATGCCATTTGAAGATGGCCAATCTGTGCTTGCTTCCAGGGCATTGGAGACATGGGATCATTTTGAGCAGGTCCTTGCATGGCAGTCCCTGCTGTGTCACCCAGGGTTATCATTGATTATATTATTTCATAGGTTATGCTAATCCATAGGTTATGTTAATTCCTTGAAAGAAAATCTCTCCTCTTCTTTTTCAAATGTCTTCTGGATCCCAACCAGGCCAATCAAAGGTAGGACCTTCTCATCATACCTGACATAGCTACAGTAGAAAACAGTGAGCTATTCTGAGATGATCTATATCTCTCACGTTTCTGCATACTTCTTTCTCCATGTAGAAAAGCAATATGAACTATTGGGAAAATGTAGGAGACTTTTGATACAAATTCCAAATCTGCTACTTACTAGTTGTCTTAATTACCTAAGGCTGTCATAACAAATTACCAGAAACTAAGTGACTTAAAACAAAAGAAATTTGTCATCTCACAATTCTGAAATCTAGAAGTCCAAAATTAGATGTTAGCAGGGATATACTCCCTCTGAAACCTGTAGGAGATCCTCTTTGCTTCTTCTTAGCTTCTGATTGTTTGCTGGCAATCTTTGGTGTTCCTTGGCTTGTAGATACATCACTCACATCTATATCTCTGTCCTCACATAGCATTCTCCCTGTGTTTCTCTGTCTTCATATGGTCATTTTAAGGACATCATTCATATTGGATTGGGGCCAACCTTATCCAGTGTGACCTCAACTTAACAATTAATTACTTCTGCAATGACTTGAATTTCAAATAAGGATACATTCCAAGGCATTGGGAATTAGAATTTGAACATGGCTTTGAGGATGAGGCACAATTCAACCCATAACACTAACTATGTGAAGTAACTTCTGGGTCTTAGTTTCCATCTACAAAATAGAAATTGTGATCTCAATCTCTCTGGTTGTTATTAAGAATTTGGCAAACTATTGTATCATAAGTGCCTGGTACATGGCAGTGGCTTGGCAGATGGTAGTTATTAGTGCTAGGGAAAATGGACTGAGGCTCTGTTTTTAGGTGACAGGACTAGTTGCATGTTTCTCAGAATGTAAAGCCCATAGGCACCCTTGATGAGTGTGCTCCGATGAGGCAACTCATCACGATTACCCCACTTTGAGGCTGGCTGCTAAGTCTCTGAGGCAGGTGTTGCGCTTGTCTCTCATCTAATTAAGATTTCTTTGAAGAAGGCCTTCTGAGATGAAACTGCAATAAGTATCCACTTCCCTTTTTCATTTGCATATGTAATTGGCATACTGCACAGGAGGCAATCATGCTAGGCTGTCCTGGCATCTGAGCCCCAAGCTAGTGTCTCTAGCTTTATACAACAGCAGCGGGAGTACTTTCTATATATAAGCAGTACTCAATGTCCTTGCCAGATTGGGTGGCAGGAAATATGAGAGTTTTGCCTCTTGCTGCTACTTAGGCTTCCTTCAAGCTCATGTCCAGAAAATTGGTCCATTCCAGCCAACAACCTAATTTAAGCATATCTCACTATGGGGTAGGAGCCTCTCCCACAGGGCCTAGTGAAGACCCCCCCACATACATACATGTGCAGATACGCATATCCAAATGAGGCTAGAAGGCAGGCAGCAGTAACTAAGAATGACCACTTATCTCCAAAACTGCTATCATAGAGGTAGGAGAGGCATTTTGCCACTATTTCAAGGGCTGTTATTCCTCCTCTTGAAAAAAGAGGGCAGTAAGGAGCTCAGTGTTGGCCCTTGCCAGCTTTCTGTTCCTGTAACAAGTTCCTGAGATAACCAACTCATAAAGAGAAAAAGAGTTGTTTGTTTGAGATTTCAGTCCATGATTTGTTGGTTCTGTTACTTTGGCTTGTGGTGAGGCAGCACATCACAGTGGAGAGAACATGGTGGGACAAAGCTGCTCCCTTGATGGCCAGGAATAAAGAAGAATGGAAGAAGATAGGCTGGGATCCCACTATCCTCTTGAAGAGTATGCCCCAATGACCAAAACGCCTCCCACTAAGACCCATCTCTTAAAGGTTCCACCAACTCCCGATAATGCCAAGCTAAAAACTAAGCCTTTAACACATAAGCCTTTGGGGAGACATATCTGTAGTGGGGATTTAGATTTTTGATGAATTGAATCCTACTGATAAATCTTACTTCCTTTATTTGGCATACATTTACCCTATGTGTCTGGATCACCCTGTATTGTTCTGTTATTAGTTGTAAAGCAAAAGAACTTATTTGTCAGCCCTGACTTGTTTCTCCTTCATATCATATCATGACTGGCTATAACCTCCTATCCCATCCCCTGATCATTCACTTGCCATCCAACTGTGTCAGTTGATACACTTCTACCTCTGGCTGGAGCAGCAAGTGGCCCAGACTCAGCAAGAAGCTGCAGACATGCCAGATCAAAAGTAGAGTACATGGTTGGGAGGAAAGATGAGGCCAGGTTAGGTGGTCTGTAAGCCTGTCAGGGCTGAATATATCAGTGTGCTTCTGTGTCCCCAACTTATTGACTAGTGGAACAAAAATGATCTTCTCTGTATTGCTGGTCTAGAATTTGGTTCTTTGAGTTGGATATGATTGCATGTGAATCTAGTCTTCCCTGCATTGTACAGATTGCATCTTTTGGATACTAGGGTTTACTAGCGAGCACTTAAGTTTGCTTTCCTGAACCTGTGGGACAACCATTTAGAATTCATTATCTAATTACTAAGAGCAAATAGCCAAGGGCTACAGCACAGCCTGGGGAAGCAGACCCTCTACCAGGAAAGGAAAATTTGAGCCAGTCTCTCTAACCCTCTCTCTTTGCTTCACAAAATAGCTTTTAAATTACAGTAAGTGTGCAATAAAAATTCCTCTCAGCATCTGGCCACCCTACATGTGGCCACTGCACGTGTCCTTTTCTGGGATAATGATGTATAAAAGGTAGGTTATTGAGTTAAACAGATCTGGCTTCTGTTTAACCGTGCAATCTTGAGCACTAAATTTCTGAGTCTGCTTTCTCACATATGAAATGAGAACAGTACCTTGTAAAGTATTATAAGGTTATTGGGAATGGAGAATCAAATTATGTATGCATAGTGCGTGGCATATACTAGCTGCTCAAAACCTGGTAGCTGTTATTTAGTGGGACACTGGATGGCCTCCAGAAACCTTGTCCTAGACCCTAAACTGTAGGAAAAAAACTCAGTGTTAAGTGACAGTGGACAAAATGCCTTTGTTTACCAAACAGTGAGTATGCCCAGCCCCAAAGTGTGCCCAACATCTGTCAGTTTCCTGGCTCTCTCTGTTAAGAAAGAAGAGAGCTGTCTGTAGCTAGATCTTGCTTTCAAGAAACCAAAGAGCTGATGATAGGCCAAAGGAAATACAAGTTGTCACTCTGTGGTGTCTTGGCCACTAAAAGAAGCTGGGACAAAGGGAGAGGGCAAGAGTCTGTGAATACAGGATTCTTGGCATTTGGACTCACTGTTTTTTCTGTCTGTACCAGTTGAGAGATGCTGAGGATGAAGCCACACTACAAACTGCTCTGGATTATCTGAACAAAGAGTTTGAAAAGCTATCAGAGATCAACTGGATGAAATCAATCATATTTCCAGAGGTACATAACTTGGAGAGAGAAATAAAGGGAAGAGAAAATTTTGCCTTGGTATCTTACTTTCCAGCGTGACTCACAATGTGGTGATTGAGGGAGTCAGTCCAGTGGCAGCTTTCAACTTTAACTTTAATGGAGCTTACTCTTCCTTGTCTCATCATAAGTGAACAGAACAAGGCAGAGAACATAAAAAATGAGGTGACCATGGAAAAACAACTCGAGTGAAGACCCACTTGGTAACAAGAGATGATCAAGAAATAATAAGAAAGATTGGGGTTTCTCCATGTTGTTTCCTGCTCCCTGCACATCGCTGCCATCAGGACTGAACTTCCTCCAGTGCATACCAGCATGGCCATACAAGTTGTTTACAGTCAAAATCTGTTCTAAATGTTTAGATCCCAGACCATATTGGTCGATAAATTTCCTAAATATCACCTCTCCCGGATGGTTCCTGTCTCTTCCCCTCTGGGAAGTTAATAGGCTCTCTCAGTGTCACCCCTTAGCAGGAGTGTGGCTTAAAAGAAAACTGAGCATGGCAGCAGTGGCTACAACTTAGCTGTAGGGAAGCTGTCATTTTTTAAACAACTCTGAGTGATTTCCAAAGATTGAATAATAGTCCCATTTCATAAGTCAAATGACCCAAAGGTGCCCACTTATCATTAGCTAAATTACATTATTTATGGCCTGGCAGGGTTTTTCTTGAAATTTTCCTACCATAGAATCATTCATTTCAATCTGCGGCAATCCCTTTTCCCACACACACTCATTATACCTGTGTTTTGGCTCCATTCACCAGTTATATGCATATAAGCAAGGCATGTTTAGACTAGTGAAGCAAACAGACTACCATTTCTGAAGAAAAGTCATATATAAATTCAGGTCTTAAGAAATTTAATAACTCTCTCATGTGCCTTTGCTGATGTTCCAAGCACTTCCCAAGGCCTTTTCTGCTTGAAGGTCCTGATGCTGCCTCTGGAGAAAGAAAATGTACTGTTAGACAGCAAAGGGTGTAAAATATCATTGTACCCCATTCCATCATTACCCAGTTCACATCTCTCACCAAACTCCTGAAATAAGAAAATGGATTGGATATTGAGTGACATGAGATAAACACAGTCCATACTGTGAGATCCCACTTTATATGTTAATCTATGTGGCCTGTGACATAATCTTTTTTCTGAGCTCCAGTATTTCCATAGAAGTGAAGGTATAAAAAAGACAGAGTAGATCGAAAGAAAGCCAGGAAGATGTTGCTTATTCACTTGGTACCAGTATTGCTCACAGAAGACTGTGATCCACTTTTCTGGGAGAAAATAGAATGAGACTCAATTATTTATTGGACTTTCCAGGGGTTTGGCTGAGGGGAAGTTTCTGTGCCCTTTCTTAAGGTTGCTCCTGAAAGGCAATTTTGAAGGCTGATGTATATATCTAGGAGCAGTACTAGAGGAAATAGGGTAAGTGGGACTAAGAACAGGAAGAGGAAGCAGATTTATACCCTTCACTCAACAGGGTATAAATTGGAGGTACAAATAATCCTCAAAAGATGGTATTTTGAAAGCTGCTTGGAATATGTTTGGCTGGATTTTATAACAACGAAGTTAACCTCAGAACTATGTCTTACAAATACTAGTAGTAAAGTCAGAACGCTGTAGCAGGAGCAAAGACTGGGAGGCTGAGCTGGATTTACAGAGCCTACATAATTTAAACAGCAGAAAACTCAAATTCATAATTAAGAGCTATATTTAAAAAACCGTCTTTGCATTCCTGGTAGGGAAGCAGATGGCCTGGGAGGCAGGGTCTTTCCTATAAGAAGGTACTTGGCTAAGGGGGTTAGTAGGTCCTCATCAATTGTATGTCTGAAGAAAGGGGTGGTTTTTGTAATTCATGCAGAGGTGCCATATGACCTAGCAGTGGACCTAGAAATCTTATACTTCTAATCCCTAGCCACATGCCCTCAGGTGAAATATTTAACCTCTCTGAGCCTCTGATTCTTCTTTTCTAATGTAGTGATAATAATAGTCACTTTGCCAGATTGTTTTGAGGCTTCTATGAGTATTTATTGAAGTGTCTAGCAAGGCATAAAGTAGGCATGAAGTATCTACCTGGCATAAAGATAAATTTCTTTCGTGGGATATATGACCAGTTAGTATAAGTATCTCATTCCTGGCTAGAGTAGATGTGCCTGCTTTCTGGAGTCATTCTTGTCCATCATTTTTCCAGGCCTCAAGGAATTACTTATGGATGTTAGGTAACTAATATTTTGACCTTCCTCTTGCTATTGTTTCTCAGGAAAAATCCTCAGATGCTGACAGTAGAAGCCTCAGATTGAAATTTAAGTTCCGCAAAGTGGGAAAAAAGAAATTACAAGAGGAAGACAAAGCTAAATCAGGCCAAAGATTCCACCGTTTTATTGGTAAGTCTCTTCCCCAAGCATAGGGGTCATGAAGACTCCCCAGAAGACTTCCTCTCAGGAAGCAGAAGCCTCCATTAGAACAACATTAGAAACATTCACAGGTGAGGTAATGATGGAAAAGCCAGCAGAGAGCCAAGTCTGGGTCATTCCAAGCAGTGTCTTGGACAAGGTATGAATTTAGAAAGCAATATGGTAGGGGGAGAACATGAAAAAGAACAAAGCTATGTGGCCTTTGTGATATGGACAGCTGAAAAGAAAAATGCAATCAGGCAGTTATTTTACTGCTTGACCCATTTCTAAGGGTCTGGAACAGGTTCTGTGACTTATGTAAACACATTTCCCCCATCCGTTATAGTAAGTCTATAGAAACATGAAATTTCTATATATTCTATTGCTTAAATTTGGCTCTATCTGATTATTTTTAAAAATTGGTCCTAAAAATTGTTGATATGTCAGTAGGATTCAAAAGAAGGTTCTGTTAAGAATTGTCAGTTATGCCAAATCATGATCTTTCATAAATTTGGGGCCTAGACAACCTACAAGCTTAAGAGATGTAGCAGTAATGAACATAGGAAAACAGGATTAGAAGATAGTTATCTGTTTTGTTTCTAAGAAACCAAGAGTTCGCACAGAAGCCAAGAGAGAATCTCTTGGACCAAACTGTATTTTCTCAGGTATGGTCTGTTTTGATTCCCTAAGAATCTGCCAGTTAGGAGGCTTTAGTTTTTAAGAATATTTCTGAAGACTCTGATGGAGTCAATAGCAGTTCCATAGATTATCAGGTTCTAAGAATTCATCCTATTTGTGTTTGGTTCACCTGATATCACCTGATATCTGATGGTTCAGAGATGGTTGGTACATGAACAAACTAGTCTGTCTCCTAACAGACACTTTGCTCTCTTTGGGGTTTGGGCATCTGGCAGAGTACTAACCTCATTTCTGTATGTGGTTTTTCTCTGAAGGTAATTTGTGGCATCATAGGAGTCATGAAGATGAAGCAGAAAGTGATGATCCTCCAACACCATCAATATCTCAACAGTAGCCCTTGAAAGCTGGAAGAACTCACATTTTAGAATTCTACTAAAAACTCTCAAAACCCTAATACAGGTTGGCATACACTATTTCAGTACAAACATGAGCACCACCAAGAAAGACCTTCCAATTCTTTATACTAGTCCATTTTTCCTGAACTTAATCAAGTTTTCTTAGAGGTTTACATGTTTTCATTGGCCAAAGATACTTATTTCAAGTTGTCTTTTTAAGTTCTCTTTCTCTTTGTGTATCTTGAGCACCTACAGTATCTACTTGGATAAGCTCTTTGTAGATCTATAAAGGATTTGAGGGAGTTCACTTCATCAGGAAGTTTAGGAATGGTTTTCTCTGACTGGCAGAGAAACTCTTGACACTAAAGAATGAATGAATGACAGACCCTCAAGGAGATGAAAAGATGAAGCAGGACAGCCAGGCTCGATTGTGTTTCTCCCCCAATCCCTGCCAACTTCAAACTTCAAGATATTTCTTCTAGTTGGCTCATTATAATGAGAACTAGGTCCTGGGGTCTTGTCCTGTTAAATGACCTTCCCTTCCCTTCCCTTCCATTCCATTCCCTTCCATTCCCTTCCCTCCCCTCCCCTCCCCTCTCCTCTCCTCTTCTCTTTTCTCTCCTATTCTCTTCTCTTTTTTCTCTTCTCTCCTTCTCTTCTCCATCCCTCTCTCTCTCTCTCTCTCTCTCTCTCTCTCTCTCTCTCTCTCTCTCTCTCTCTCTCCTTTGTGTTTTTCCATGTGTTCATGTATATCTTTGCACCCGTCCAGGTGGTGCTCTGGTGGCTGGGTGGGCCCACTGATGGACCTCACTCTTCATGGCAACCATACAAGCTCCCCTCCTACTGCCTTGATCCTAGCCTGCATGACTCCATGGACTGTTTGCCTGCATTCTTGCTGGATTTCTAAAATAAATGTTTTGCTTCTGTGCTGCAGTGTAGATTAGGTATAGTGACATAAATATGTATATAGATATATAGATTTATATTTTTAGGAACTGAAAGTACAACTCAACCTCTAAGTAACCCTCTAATTTATTGTGCTAATCCAGGAATCTTTCCCTATCCCCTACTACCTTACACATACATATGCCTCTACCAACTGCCCTCATTATTGGTGGAGCTTCTAATCTTTTGGTGCATTTTTAGCGTCTTAGAAGTAGCTGGGATCTACCTACAGCCAGCTGATTCTGATGCCTATTTAAAATTTTGACCCAGGCAACAGACAGGGGAACAAAAATATCAATGCCCCAGAGAAGGGGCTAAGTTGGCATGCCACCTTTTTAGGTCTATTTTTCCTACCCTGTACATCAGCAACTGCCGCAAACTGTGTTGCTCCTTCCCCAAGGAAAAGACGACACAGAGCAACCAGACCTTTAGCTCAGTGACATAAATACCAGAGCTGGAGACTGCCTGACAATTGAGTCACAACTAGGCCCTTCTCTACAAGCTCTTTCTTGGCCTGAATTTTCTGGACAAGCTGTTGAGTCAGCCCCCAAATCACTTTCAAATCTCCCATCTTGCCCCCTTCCCTTGAGTACAAGAGGGGCATTTAGAGTGATCAGAAAAAAAATGGGCCTGGGAAAATGAAGGCTAAAAGGCTTTACTTCCCCATGGTTCTTCTTCCAAATTTCTAATGAAAACAAACTAGGACTAGATTATTCCAAATCCTAATTCATTAAATGCCTAATCCCAGTCAGTCAAATTTAACCAAACCCCAGTGCCCAGAAAGGTTTTATCTGCTTTGCCTCTCATCTCTATCCCACCCTTAATTCATACCTTTGGGTGTCTCTTCCCACTTATCAAAAGAAAACCAGAGAACTGGCCTCAACCCATTTCTTAGACATAGTGTGCTCAATTACTTGTTTTGGTCCAATGGCTGGTACATCAAGGTGCACAATCCAGACTCTGAAGACTGGTTCTCAACTCTGGAATTCCACCAGCCTAATCCACTTAAACCAGCCACCTGTGTTCCACCTCTGCAGGGGTGAAGAGAAAAATACTAACAAAGGGATAGTCCCCAAATGTCTGATTGCTGTGCCAAACAAATAGAAACATCCTAACTCTACAACTAAAGAAGAAAGTCAATGGAAAAATACGACAGAAGACATTTTAAACTTATTTAACTATCAGAATGTTAACTTACTATATGTATTTGATTGGGGAGTGTGCTGTTGCCATGTCTTTGGTTTTTCCTGCATCACTCTTTCTTCCCAGAAAGAGATATTAGATCAAATTAGGAAGGTCACCGTTGCAGCTCAACTTGGCTCCTCCTTTGCTGCATGAATTAACACCTGCACACATACTCACGAAGTTGGGAATCAATTTATATTTTTTCAGAAGAGGCTTCTCCAAAAGGGAACATTTCCAAATGAGAAATATTAAAGAAACAGAAGGAAGTCCTGAGAAAGGGTAGCTTTATCTTGGTAATGACTAAGCATGGCTATGTCTTATAATTTTTTAAACCACTGATGATAATCAATTATAATAAGACTCCTTTTCTTGTGCTTACTTTGCTGAAATACTATATACATTGTAATGGTACTGTCGCTCTGTTGTGCCATCTAGATTCCCTTTCATCTACCCTGTCTCCCACCCTGAGTCAGAATGATATTGAATGAAACTACTAGGATTTGGGGCTACAGCCGAATATGGAAAAGAACTGATAGATGATGGGGCCCAAGAGCAGGTGTGGCTTCCTAAATCACTTGGTTACCCCCTAAATAGCTTAGTTACCAGTTGCTTCCTGAAAAGAAAGACTGCTTTCTGGGCACCTGTTCTTGCATGTACTCACTTGGAAACAAAGCAAGAAGTGATCCTTATCTCAAGGGAGTTGACTTAGTCCCTGGGAGCATAAGCTTCCTTCAGGACTTCATTGTTAACTACATGTAGTAATATAATTGCTCAGGTGTGGGACTGGACACCAAATATTCATCTCAAACATGTTCAGAAACCATTAATAGCTAAAGCTCTAGGGTTTGCTTGCATCTTTGGTAGCACTTTCTGAAGAAGTGATTGGATGGGAAATTCCTGGCAGAAGAGCAGCGGGGAAGGAAAATACCAACAAATTTGAGCTGCCACCAACTACTTCTGGTGCCAATACAACAGGAGGTCAGCAGCTATCTGAAAAAGACCCTTTAACTAAAAAGTTAAAGGTTGACCAAAAGAAACAGTTGGGTCAGCATCATCTTCCCTGAGAAAACAAGTAGAATAATTTTAGTTTCACAAGAGATATAAACTAATACCAAAGCAACCAAACTCATTTGCACCATCTCATCCTATAAGGGAATTTGATTGACTATATAGTTTGTAGAATTCCATTTGTCTGTTTGTTTGCTAATCTGTAATCCATTGTTGCTTTTCTGCTCTGTGAATTCTGTTTTCTGAGGTCCCTGCAAATATGCAGCAGGGCCAAGGGCTGGTTGGGGGAGGAAGCTGGGGTAGTCATGGAATCAACAAGAAAAAACGAAAGAAAAGGTTCACAAAGTGTGCCTATTCCTCTTCCTCCCCCAAAATGGAACACCAGTCCTCAAAGTTAATAAAGTGTTGCTTATTGAAGTATTTTAATAAATGGATAAATATAATCAACACCACTGCCTCATCATTTACCTTGGTATGGATGAATTTAAATGGTGGTAAAAATGGGGAGTGAACTTGAGTGGCACTTCAAGATCTATACAAGCCACATGAAGTTATAGATGACAGGGAAGGGTAGACAACAACAACATAAGACTGGCCCTTGGGATTGATCATAATATTAAAAGAGCTACCACAGTGAATTCTAAAACCTAGCTGTAGCTCAGGACAATCTTGTAGGGAAATGCAGTAGACCCTCAAGTTATGACTGGCCTGACATATGAACAACTTGGGTTAATTAGGTTAATGGAAGATTCATCTGCCTCTTGTTATCTATAGTATGTATCCAGGTAGACATCCATATCTCAGCTGAATTGACTTAGGGCCAAATGGTCTCTTATTTAGAGATGGGCTGTTTCTGACATTCAAGACCACATTTCAGTCTACCGCCCTAAAAACTGCATTGTTAGGCTTTATGGAGGAATCAATCCTGTTGTTGAGGAGCTACCATCATGTGGGCCCTATAATCCAGATTAAGAATATTTCACTGCACCTTATATACTATTGAAGTGCTATCAGAAATGAAATTTAAGGCTATTTTAAAAATTACTATATAATAGCATTGCCCCGTTTTGGGTGTAGGGAATCATTCAGTTTGAAGATGTGGAGAGATTTACGTAATCACCAACACTATCAGGTTATGGAACAGTTTCTAGTACCCCATACAATTCCTTTATATTATTCCTCTATAGCCCTATCCCTAACCACTGATCTATTTTACATCACTGTGGTATTGTGCCTACAGGAATATAATAGAATGTGTAACATTTTGAGACAGACTCCTTTAACTCAGCGTAATGCCTTTCAGATTCTTTCAAGTTGTTGTGGTGAATCAATAGTATCCTTTTTTATTGCTGGTTAGTATTCTGCTGTATGGATCCAACAATTTATTTATCCATTCTCTTATTAAAGGATTTTGAGTTATTTCCAGTTTCTTTTACCAATCAGTTATTAGGAAATGTGTTATTCCCTGGATTCAGTCCCCAGCATAACAAAGAAAAAGAAAAATACAGAATAAAAATGTTTTCTTTTCTATGTGTTTTGAGATTTTACTATTGCTTTTCTATTCCCATTTAATTTTTTGAGATCAGAGAACACACTATGTATGATTTCAATTCTATTTAATTAGCTAAGGCACTTTTTTCCCATTAAGTCTATTGGTTCATTTTAGGTATACAATACAGTTACATTCGTCATTGGGATCTTGTACCTTTACATGAGGTATCTGGGTTCTGTTTTCCCCATTCCCTTGCCCTCCCTTCACCCCCTCCACCCTTCTCTATTTACAGACTTTGTTTCCAATTTTTCCCTTTTCTCATATTTTTTCTTTTCCCTCCTTTCCTTTCCCCTACCCCTCCCACTTCCCCTACTCCTTTAGACCTTTTCTTCCTATTTCACAATATCAATTATACATTTTTATCCTTATCAACACTTTTAGTTTTTCACACCAGAGAAACTATTTGGTATTTACACATGTGTGTCCTATTTATTTCACTTAAGAGTATCGCCTCAATGTGCATCCATTTAGCTATAAATGTCTCTAGTTTCTCATTAGCTAAGGCTTTTTAATGACCATTTTATTTATTTTTTTGGTTTGGCCTTTTTAAATTTCTGTTTCCCTTTTCTTGCCTTCTGTCTGATTATCTGAACTTTTTTAGTATCTCATTTTAATATCTCTATTGTGGCTGTGACATCTATTTATATGATTTTTTACAGCACTCGCTCTAGGAAATACAAAATGCAGACTGTTCACGGTCTTCCTAGAATCAATATTTTACCATTTTATTCATTTATTTATTCTGATAGTGGGGATTGAACTCAGGACCTTGCACAGGTGCAGCGCCACTGAGTTAAATCCTCTGCCCTTACCATTTTAATTGTAATGTAAAAAAAAATCAGCACATTAAGCCCTTTGCCCTCCCCTCTTTATGCTACCACTGTCTTATGTATTACATCTGTACACACTGAAAATTCCATATGAAAATGTAATTTTTGCTTTCAGTAATCAAACATGTTTTACAAAATTCAATAGAATATTATGATGGCCCAGACATTTACCATTCTATTGCAAAATTTCTTCATACATTATGTTCCAAATTGCCTTCTGGTATCATTTCATTTCTGTATTAAGAATTCTTTTAGTCTTTTAGAGCAGGTCTTCTTCCTAGGATTTGTCTTATTTTCCTTCATCTGAAATTGTGTTTTAAATTTACCTTCATTCCTGAAAGATATCTTTTGCCAGATATAGAATTTTGGGTTGATAATTCTTTCCTTTCAACACTTTAAAAATGTATTTCTTTCTCCTGGTTCACAGAATTTCTAATAAGAAATCTGCAGTCATTTGAATCATTGTTCCATTATGGCTAATGTAACATTTCTCTCTGAATGCTTTGAAGAATATTTTGTCTTTATTTTTCAGCAGTTTGACTATTATTTATATGTCTACATGTTTCTTTACATATATCCTGCTTGAGATTCACTTTCTTGAATCTATAGGTTGGTATCTTTCACTAAAACTGGAAACTTTTCACCTATGCTTCCTTCAAAGGGTTTTTTTCAGCACTGCTCTCTTCCTCATTTCCTTCTATGATGCTAATAGCATACGTGATAGAACTTTCATTTTTGCCCCACAAGTTCCTGTGGCACAAGTTCCTACCTGCTTTCTGTGGGCTGGAGTCCAATGTCAATTCAGTTTTCAAAGTCTCTGGCATGCTATGCAAGTGTGTGTGTGTGTGTATGTGTGTGCATGCGCGCGCGTGTGACTCTGGAACTTAAATGCATATCAATTACCTCATTTGTTAAATTCCTTGGCATGCTAATTAGGATCTGATTAACACATGTACATGTTGGCAGTGCATATCTTGAAACACATAACATTTTTTTATGAGCTCCTATCTACCCATCCACATTCTCCCCAGTATTACTTAGTTCCTGGTTCTTCCCTTTCTGTCCTCTAGAAATTGATCACTTCTGCAACTGTGCCACATCTAGAGACCAGCGGTGGGAGGACAAAGAAACTAACAAGCAATAGTGTGTGGCAGTAGCTCCATCAACTAGAGATTATAGCCCCCTCCCTGAGAGTACTGGCTCCTGAAGGCTCCTACTGCTAGTACTGTTGGGGCCACTGACTGACTGACTAGTGGTAGGCATTTAAGAGACAAATTTTTAAAATAAGTGAAATTAACACCCTTCTCTCTGAGCTTTAGGAATTCTTCCTCTCTCATGTCTCAAGCTAGAACTAGACAGCTTCTACAGAAGCTCTCTGTCTGTAGCAGTGCTCACTTCCAGCTTTCCAACTGGGTTAATTTCAACCCAGGGAAACCCAGAAGAAAAAACTATGGGAACCTTACCACAGGTTTGTTATTTCTTCAAATTCTGGTTCTTCTCAGTAGGCCTTCTGATATTTAATTTTCAAATTTTTCAAAGGGTGGCAGATGCTTAACCATCTCGGAACTGTAATTCTGAAATTGAATTTCGAATAAATCATTTTGAGGTTTGTGTCAGAAGTGAATTTGAAGGGAAAATGACTGGCAATAGGCAGATCATTTGGGAAACTATTACAGTAATAGAAGCAATAGAAAAGATAGCAAACCTGAGAAGTGATAGGAGGAAACATGATGAAAATGTCAATTCCAAAAATATTTGGGAGGTAAAATCAGCAAGATTTAATGAGGTCAGTCTCTGATAAGGCTATAATTGAAACATGTTAAGTCTGAGACATAAATGGTCAGGCTTAAAGTTGTAAAATATAATCAGTATGGTTGATTTATTTGTTGGCTGTTAGTGGTGGAAAAGAGAGTTTATGAACTACCTGGTTTGGAGAGCTAGGTGGACAGTAATTGAGAAAGAAAAAGATTATAGAACCATGTTAGTGAGAAGAAAAAAATCAGTGTTGGACATGTTCAATTTGAGGTAACTATGTGACAATCAAGTGGATATGTCCAACAGAAAGTAAATGTAAGCCTGGATATAAGGCCATAGGTTTGGACTAAAGATCAGGTCTTAAAAGTCAGTGGCTTGGTGGTGATTAAAATTATGTGAATAGCTAAGAACATGCAGGGAAATTAAAACTCAGAGGGCTAAAGCTGGAGACCAAGGAAAGCTTTTGGGAAGGAAATTGTAGAAAAACAGACTACAATGAAGATAGAAAAGGATGGTCAGAAAGATGAGAAGACCAGAAAAATTCAAAGGCCCAGAAACCAATACTAGAGAATGCCAAGAAGGAGTGCAAAGATGTCAGTATGGAAGGTAGCAAAAGATATCCAAGTGAGATAGGAGCAGAAAGCTGTCTGCTGGATTTAGTAACCAGAAAATCACCTACAGCCTTACCAAAAGGCATTTGCAAATTGCTGGGGTCTCCACCACATCTTCACCTTCACTCTCACTGCTTCACACGTGCTGTCCAGGGCTCCTTGTCTTGCCTCACGGACCTTCCTTTGAAATCTGGGTGGAAGACTCCCTGATCCCACAACTCTTACATTTTGCATGCCTGAAAAATCACCACCACGTGGATGACACCAAGGCCACCCAATAGCTTAAATAGTAGCCAGGCCTACTAGGAACATGGCTGCAGTGGCTGCTGAGTGCCGGGATGGCTGAATATGGTGAAATGAATCCTGGGGAACCAATTCCCTAGGAGGACCTTCTTAAGCAAGTGTCCAGAGACTCTTTTCAAATGAAAGTTTTAAAGTTTTGCACTCTTGAGTTTGTGAGTCTGAAGGTGGGATTCTGTTGATTCCTAAGATATCTTAAAGGCAGCTTACTTATTGTTCTGATGCAAAGTACTTCTTTTCCACAACCATGCTGTCCAAGGTCCTAACTTTGCAAGCCCTTCCTTTCTGATGAAGCTGCAAACATTTTACATCTGCTATTTGCTCCTGTTTCTCATTGTAGATCTGGATAAAAGCTGTCAGCAGTAATCATACCACAGCCTGAGTG